ACCCTCAGATAAGACCGGTGTCTCTGATACGGCTGTCTCCATTACACTGTCATCTGTCTCTGTCTCATCTCGTCCCATGCTGTTGCTATACTATCTCCTATGTTTTTCTTTTTGCAAATAATATACAGAGTCACAACTTTTTAAAAGATGCAATAAAGGACATGAAGATCATTACAATTCAATCCGAAGCTAAAAACAAAAGTCACTTTTCTCCCAAAACAGTGGGACCCAACCCCAGAAACAAGTTAAACTTTCACATTACCTAGGAAAATCAATCTACCATCATCTAAAATGCTCCCTTCTATAACCAAACCCATTTCCATCATCACTGAACTGAATTAGCTGCAAAATAGATGTTTTTCAATAACCTTGAACAGCAAGATGGATTCTCAGGGTATTTGAGTTCACAAACTCACAATCACCATCTTGAGAAACTCCCGCTGTACAGTTCAAATTCTCAGCAGCCCCGCAGCGGGCGGACCAATGACAGAGCAGCATTAAAGTTTGTGTGGAAACCAAAGGCGAAGCTCCCAAGTGAACCAAAGCAAACATGGCGACGCAGACAGATGTATTTCAGCCTGTTTCAGCAAACATATGGACTATTTACTTTGTGAAAAATGTGCAGAAAGTAAGCGCTTTGTGCATTTATGGACAGGGAAGAGGTCTGTGCTTTTCTCTCAATTGGATGTAACAAAGGTTAGATTTTTTAGCTTCAGCTGTTTTGATGCTTTGAATAATAATAATAATAATTATTATTATAATGACTTAGATTTATAATCTGATTCACAGGCTAGTCAAAGCCCCTAAAAGCGCTACACTATTGTCATTATTCATTCATTCACACCATACTGCGTAGTGGTAAGCTACTATTGTGGCCACAACAGGCCAGTTGCGGCAGACTAACTGAAGCAAAGCTGGCAATCTGCGCCATCCTCCGGTCTTTGGGTTGAGGGACCACTGCTCTAACCACTGTGCCACTGTGGCCCTTTGACAAATCAGATTAAAATGTTCGTTGTGATGTTTCTGTTTCAGTGAGAGCCGTGATGAGTAGGACTCTGTTCAGAGTTCTTCACATATCAGTTTGGCATGAGGATAGCTTTTCAATAGTCAACATGTAAAATTGTGCTCTTACAAAACGTTAGTTACGTTGTTGGTCTAAGAATGATGAATTTTTATATAATTTTCAAACATTTTGTTTTCGATTTACCCTTCCCACTGTGTCCCAGCCTCGTTGGGAGCAGGTTGTGTACAGGTTGGTTGTATTTGCTTGTAGCCCTGGTACTGTGCATCTGCCTTTATATAAGGTGTGTTTTATTTATGCCTGTTGTTGTGTAGCGCCGAGCTGAAGATGGCGGCTGCCTTGAGAAGCTCTGGGTTTTGCAGCGGCTGGGGAGATAAAGTGGGGCTGTGTTTCCCAGCAGTGTTGCAGATTTATCTTTCTGCTTACAGCTCCCATTTTACTGCCTATTCACCGGCCTCCACTGGATCCCATCTCTTTCTGTCTCACACTTGCCATGAGGGAGCGACCACTCTTTTCTCCCCGCACGTTCTGACCACCATAAATCTGCCACGGGTCCCATAAAGCTGCTCAGGGCATGACTCAACAAATATTAAGGAAGAGCAGGATAAATAAATGAAAGTCTAGTACGGAGGGCAACAACTCTGCAACAAACCAAATAGAAGGCTGTGGTAAATATATAGTTCTATCTAACCAGCAGGGGGACTGGAAAGTTGCTAATGTCATGTAAAAACTGTATAAATCTAAATGTTTCTGCAAGTTTTGAAGCTAATTTCATCTCTGCTGTTTAGAACTACTAGATCCAATAAAAAAGAAATGTCTTAATTTTAGTGATAGATTAACACATGCTGTGTTTCCTTAACCCCTGACGTCACCACAAATTATTTTGCTGTGCTAAATTTCAATTAAATTTTAAATCTTTGATTTCATTATAATCACGGTCTTTAATTAGCCTGATTTTATGTTTGTCATTCATAATGACATAATAATGAAATAAAAATATATCTGAAATTTGGGTCGAAATTATCTTTTTATACCAAAAATGCAGTCTATCAAGTTAATCTTCAAAATCGCATCAATTTTTGCTCATAAAATCTTCAAAAATGCACCAAACTCTATAAAATCCGGATGTAGGCAGATAGTACCTGCTAGCCGCAGCATTCCAAACACAAAGTGAACATGGGTGTGCTCTATTGACATTAGCCCTATTTCACTTTCTGTTGAAAAACGGTCACCCCTCTCTCTGTAACTACTACTGTCAAGCTCATCATTTTTGTCTTAAAATGTTTGTATTAAGCAATGCTACATGACTCTGAGGTTTTTTATTTGCTATTTTCTCTGTAAATCAAGATATGGACATTAACAGCAAACAAATCATATGCCTTCATTATAGCAGCAGGTTGGATTGAGAGCACCCCCCCCTGCTCATTCCAGATTGTCTCTTTGGTTGCTCTGATACTTGTGTTTGGAATTCCAAATTCACCCCTATAACTGCTTGTATCGATGAGTCCTCTCCTCTTACAGTCTATGCAGGCTATGGATAGAGCCTTATAATTCTAAAGGGACAAATTACATAATCCTCATTACTACATTTTTTTTTTTTATGATTATTTCTTTCTGTCCATTCATACAGGATAGTCTTGGTGCCAGTCCCAAACCTGACTAAACCAGCCGAAAGTCAAAAACATACCAGCATGGAACTTCCGTCTTCACATGTCAAGTCAACATGTGCCTCTGTGCCGTTCTGGACTTTCCAAGACATCCATTCATCAATAGTGAAGCCTGGAGCCCACTGGAGCCTAAAGCTTCAACCAGCGACACTTTTTTGGCAAAGATGGCTGTAATTTCCATAGCGAGCTTTCAGCATATTGTAGTTCAAGTGGCGTAAAAGAAAAAACTAGACTCCCAGACCTTTTCTCTGCTCTGCTTTCAGGGTGTAATAACTGCGGTCTGATGAGAGACTCCAGCAGAGTCTTTTTAATGGGAAATATGCTCAAATGATCTGATGTCAACTATAACCAATATGTCAGGGCTGAAGAAATATTTGTCAGAAATACTTTTGACTTTACACTTTCAAAATATAAAAAAATGCTTCTTTTAAGTGCTAACATGGGCAAAGATGAAAATATTTTTGAGAGTAAGCTTCAAATGTATACAAGAAAATATTAAAGATGCACTATGCAACGGTTTGGTTGGGGGTCCGTCACCTGCTTGTTTCTATGAATATGTCACTGCTTTGCCTGGAATGTTCCACAGTAGGACCCTGCACTCCTGCGGGCCTCCTGTGGGACCCGATGGAAAACATTGCGGCGCAGGACACATTTTGAAAGCTCCTTGCAGGCGCGGGCAGGAGCGGGACTGCACAATGCGGGAGAGGACGGGTGGAATGATAAACTGCAGCCCTGCAAACTAAATATGAGTGTAAAGTAAAATATACAAATGATGAATGTATGGTATGCCTATCATGTGCTGAATATTTTATTTGGCATTAATAAAAAAATTTAAGCAGCCTAAACTTGAGGACATGGTCTAATCTCGTAGCCTGATTCATCAGCCGGTTTCACTTAGTGGAAACCGTCCGACCTCACAGCTTTAGAATTCGTTTGCTTGACAGTAGGCAGGTACTTTTTTTATTTAACCAATAGTTCCTACTTGGTTGTGATGTATATAATGCGCCAGAACGCTCAGTGGTGTTTAAATAATTGCCGGTTTCACAGCTCTCTGCTGATTGGCCTATGCGTAGTCTACAATTTCCGGAGTTCTTGCAAACCATCTAGTCTAGTGTGATTCCTGACCTAGTTGCTGGAGAAAAATGAAATTGAGCAGAGGAACTAGGTGGTGCCAACCTGGCTACTAATCTCGCGCACATTTTAGACAATTCCTTTCTGCTTGTCCGTGTTTGACAGAGCTTAAGAAAGTGTCCGTCCCCATCTTGCATGATTTGCAGAAGGGAGCGGGACAAAATATCTCTGGAGTGGGAATGAAAATTCTGTCTCGCGCAGACCTCTATTCCACAGTATGATATTAAACAACTCTGCCTTACATTTATTCAATTACAGTTGGTGCTATTAAAAAAAAAAAAAAACTGGCATTCTGACTGTGAGCAGGGTTGCCTCGCCACAGATCTGACCTGTAACTTGGTCTGGTTTGGTCTCTATGAAGATAGAAAGATTTAATATCATACTGTGATAAATTCCAGACAAACCAAAATATAAACACTGTAACATGCATGCAAATCCAAACCAACGTGTAACATTTAGTTTGACAATACTGTAAGCCTTATTTGCAAAACAGATTTCAATAAAAGTCAATTACAATGCATGCCAAATGGTTCAGGTGTGCTTGTCAGTTTACACACAGTAGTAATTTCTCACTCCTGCTCATCCAGCCAGGAGTCAAGTACCTGGATTTAAACAGCCCCGGACAAAAGACAAAAGCTAACCCCGATGTTCGTCATTAAGGCTTTTGTTCCCCCTCCCAGCTGCCTCTCCTCCGTCCACTCTCTCATTCCTGCAGCTCCAAGTGGTCGCCTCCGATCGGCCTCAACCACGACAGGCGCATTAGCCATTCACAAAGCGGCGGGCGCCATGTGGACAGGCGAGTGTGCCCAGAAATCAAGCGGCAATATGCTGTCAGTGGGAGAAAAAACCCCGGCCGGGACACATTGCGGGCCCATGGTGACCCCACGTCAAACAAGACAAACAACGGCCACTGCTACTCCATGTGGCGCCATATGGGACCGTTATTGTTGACAAAACAGCCCAGGGATATTAGCACTCACCATTAGCATAGCGCTAGGAAACATACTTACAATTATATACTTTTTGCCATTCCTCAAGCTAATAAAAGTGTCATCATCAATCTATCTAGAAACAGCCAGAGGTGAGTTGGAGCAGGTTTGTAAAGTCATCAGTTTCCTGTCGTTTGGAAATGACACAAACTCAACAGAGTGGCGCTGGAGGAAATCCGCTGAAGCTCTTACCTAGCTGGAGCTCCATGGTGCTAATCTTGTTTTCAGGCGGGAACAGGATTTTGGGCGGCTTGTCGGTCAGAGGGGCTGCAAGAGAGAGAGGAGACACAATGCAGTGAGGATGACATTTATTTGAACAATGTTACTATGACAACTTTGTATTGGACTTTGATTCGTTTCTTTCGCAGCGAGTGTTCCTTTAACTTTTTCCTACACCTCCGTAATGTTCCATTTTAAAGTCTGTGATGGTCGTAAGTGATCCAAATCTGATGCATACTACCGCGGGTCTATTGAGAAAGAGCCATATTGCCTATATAACTGTGGTGCATAGTGCCAGTAGGCCTGTCACCATAACGAATTTTGAAACATGATATATTGCTACAGAGAAATATTGTGATAAATTACTATTCCTACTATTATTACTACTACTGCTGCTGCTACTACTACTACAATTTTTTAAAGCCTGTATCATTAAAAAGCCATGAAAGGCAACAAATAAATGGCAGAATGAACTGATCAACCCAAATCTTACATAATTACATTGACATGACAAAAAATCCCCAATACTGCAAATAAAAATAACTCACGATAAATATTGAACCCCTAAATATATCTTATATATCTTCCAACTTTCATATATTAAGCCATAAGTTAATATAGTGATTATCGTGACAGACCTTAGTGTCTTTTTACCCAGACCAATGAGTTGATTAACAGTGGAACTTTTGAGAATGTCTGGACCGTATATCATCCACTGTTCCTTCCACTCTTCCACACACACACAGTGCAGCGCTGTCTGTGGACATTGGATTCCATTTATTCGACCCACTTCTGATCATAAATTAACCATCGCTTTGCCAGGAACAAGCCACAATTCAATTTTCATGAGTGTAAGGTGCATATCTGAACAGGCTTTATAGATCTTGTGTGTGAGCGATGAGGAGCTGATTCACTAATGCTGCTAATCATCTATACAGTGTCTAACATGCCTGAGGCCCCTCTTGTGAGACCTGTACAACAATGCTCTAGCTCATTGTTGTTAAAAGCTTTTGTGTGTTCAAATGGTCTGTGGTCCTAAGGGTGGGGCGTCCTGAGATGTGAAAAAATAATGTAGATTCTATGCCAGCTACTTCACATAAATAGTTGAATTCATACTAATAACTGCAACAAAAATGTCTTGCTTTTTGCTCTAAAAACACAAATATTTACCTTTAACATAGAATCACAACTTGTTTGGCTTAAAGGTCAGAATCCAGCAGAGAAAAACAAAGTTCTAAATATGCATGAAGCGAGTTGGTGATATAATTTTAATGCATTCACTCATATAGGGTTTTGCCTCATAGGAGAAAATGGTATAGGCTGAGGAATGCAATAATGCAGTGGTTCTCAAACTTTTATCATCTTGTAAATATATGACTCCACAAGAACTAAACTTACATTGGCCAGAAAAAAAATCCTGAATAAAAAATCTACATCATAATTATTGTAAAACCACATGGTGATATTAAAGTAACTACATCACATTGTTTCAAAAAGAATGTTATTACCTCCGCCAAGGAGGTTATGTTTTTGTCCGCGTTTGTCTGTTTGTTTGTTTGTTTGTTTGTTTGTCTGTTAGCAACATAACTCAAAAAGTTATGGACCGATTTTGATGAAATTTTCAGGATTTGTGGGAAATGTGAAAAGGAAGAACTGATTTCATTTTGGGGGTGATCCGGAAGAAATCCTGGATTCTGGATCACTTTGAAACTTTAGTTAACATTGTGGTAAATGGGGCAAAAAAATTTGTTTCTCAATATCTCGGTTAATTATTGACCAAACCCCATGAAATTTGACTCAGGGATGGACAATGGGATCCTCTTTCATATTCCAAAGGCTGATCCAGATCTGATCCAGAAGACTGATTTTATCGCAATTTATATAAAAAATGGGGGTAGTCCTTGGTGGAGGTCTGTGCTCTCTGAGTGCTTTTCTAGTTATGATTATGGTATCAAAATTCTCATCATTATTATAACTAAAATATAAATGTTTCACTCAAAATCCCGCATATTTAGATGGAATGTAGTCAGACTAATAATAAAGGGTTACTCAAACATGTGGGAATGAAACAAAACACAACTCCAGGTATGTTTTTGAGGAGGTAACAGCATTATAACACGGCTTAAAGTTCACAAGAATCAATTTTGCGTAATATAGGAAATGCAAGTACTGGGTAAATGCCTTTTCCTTAGTACTGAAAACAAGTTTGAAATTTTTGTAATTGAAGAACACAATACCGTGACTACATTGGACTATTTCAAGAACAGGACTTTCCTACTGCTAAAAAAAATTATAAATAATTGAAAAACATTAAAACGATCTTTGCTTATAGGCCAAAATGAAATTCAACTATACCAGATTAAACCTACTGCTCATATCATGGACCAACTAGTAAAAATAAATTAAGTAGCTAATTTACAAGTCTTTTCAGATCTAAAAACATACACACATGTTCCCAGACGATTCTATAGTCAGTAAGCCCTTTTGTGTCACCTGCAGAATACTGGCAGAATAATAAAGCTGCATGCATATTTCCCTTCACTAATTCCAACACTTCTTCACATTTTAGCACATTCAGTGATCCATTCAAGCCTAAGGCACAGTCTCTTCTTGCCGTGCCGTTACATCATGAGAGAAAATTGGGCCACTTTTAAGCTTGTTATCTCCAATATTACACCACTGACATTATCATAGACCTTGGATTGTCTTTATCACATGTACTCTATCAAAATGCGTGTATTTACAGTTGTATTTGACCTTTAGATACATGTGCTAAGCTGAACAGCACATTTGAGTTTAAGCAGTTTAATTTGTCTACTCCCAAAGCAGCAATGAAAAGGACTTTTATTGACTATGACAAAGCCCGAGCGTTTGGACACGACTAATTATTTTTAAAGGGAATTTGCAAATGCTGCTTATTTGGGTCAGTTTGTAGTGCAGTGCTTTTATTAACACATTTCCTTAGAGTGTCCTCAGCAGCCCTTCTTTTTAAACCGATTATAAAGGACCCTCTAACAAGCAGTTTGTAAGCCCTGCTCTTTTACTGTCTGTATCTGGAAGGAACAAGCAGTGCACTGTCTCTGTGTGGTCCAATCAGGAAAGGTTCAAAATAAGGACAAACCAGGAATAAAGGAATTGATTGAGTTGTTGAATGTGTGTTTTGTTGTGATTGGCAAACACACCCAACAAGATTATTCCTGCTGATCACTCACTTTGGTTCACAAATGCTGGAGTTTATTAAAGCAAACTGAGGGAAACCAAGTTATAAACAACAACAACTGAAGGACAAATGATCTTTAAAGGTGCACTGTGTAACTTCTCTGGTAGGGTCCCTACCAGTTACTACTTTTCAGTCTCCATAAAAACAAACAGGAGATGCCACCAGGCCTATTTACAGGTGAGATCTATGAAAAGGTGACCCCACTCACAGTTAGAATGCATGCTTTTAAAGGTATTTTTGAGCAATAACACACCCATAATTAAATAAATGCATCTTATGTTAAGTTTAATACCATATTGTGGAATATTACAGGCAAACAATAGCATCTCAATAGTAGCAGACCCCCAACCTGAAAGGTTACACAGTGCACATTTAAATAAAATTTAACAAATAAAAAAAAAAACAACAACATTTCAGCTGTCTAATTATTATTGTTATATCTTGGGTATGCCACTGCCATTAGGCCAATGTTATGATAATCACAATAACATTCTTAAAATGGTGCGACAATGGCACCCACAAGCCCAATTTACTGCACCACTAGGCTCAGCCACTCATACTGAATGAATAAACTCGCTTTCTGATAATTAGAGTAGGGAACAGAGATAAAGAATGTTACTGAAATTATTCCTGAAATTGCCATTAAAAATCATATGACTTAAGTAATGTTGCAAAATGAGTTGTTTAAAGATGTACTTAAGGAGGTAAAAGTACTCAATGAGTAAAAAGTTGTAAAGTAAGGTGTCTGTGATCTAATAAAGCTTAAAGTGTACTAATTTTGATTAAGAATTTTGTTCAAACAAAACAACTGAATTAATTTTTTTTTTCAAGCTGTTTTTATTTGTAGATTTTTATTTGCTCAGACTATGAATGTGTTAAAAATAAATCCCTCAGGCTTTTCAGCAGGTCTCACACAATAATTAAAATACTTTTACTTTTCAGTCCTCTTAAAAAATGTAGTGGAGTAAAAAGTACAGATATCTGCTCTTAAATGTATTGAAGTAAAAGTAAAAAGTATAGTATAGTATAAGTACAGATACCTCAAAATCTTGACTTTAAGGTGGAGGATCCGCCACCTGCTTGTCTCCATGGAAATGGTTTGGCTTGAATAGTCCACATTAAACCTATTTATCACAAGGGAGACCAGCAGGTCACAGCTCTTCGTTACAATTCAGATCTGTGGAGAATCGCCCCTATTCACAGAAGGAATCATGCTATTTCTGAGCAATAGAAACACCTGTAATGAATAAATGTTAGATGGATATGTTTAATGTCATACCAGGGAACCCTCCTCCAGAAAAGTTACACCTTTAAGCACAGTACTTTACTATTTTTACTTTGTTACATTTCACCACTACACATAGTGAGTATAAAGTAAATTCTTGTGTTGTTCCAATTTGGCCCGTGTCACAATCAAGCCTGGTGTCAGAGAGGAGAGGGGCGGTCACGGGCTTTTACCCACGACTGTTTGCACTGTTAATAGGTAATCAGACTGCACAAATTACACTCCATACTGATACCATTTTAATTACATATCAAACTGCTATACATAATTACACAATGGGTGATCCTATAGCTAATTATGAACTGGGCAAACAAACTATTGAGCGGCGTGTTGCAGAGGAGAGGAGCAGATGTTGCAGAGCGGAGAGGAGATAAGGAGCTGAATACAGTTACAACATACTGTAGATTCAATACAAAACAATGCACTTTTTCAATTTGTTACGATTCTTTCCAGGAAATTCTCATTCAGCACAAAAACCTCGACCTTGACACAGGACCCTATCATGCTATGGTAAAATCAGCAACCTACAGACCTAATAAACAC